TATAATATGTGCATGTATGTATAATATAAATGCATGTGTGTATGGGGGTGTCCGGGAATGTGTGTGGGTGTACGTGAATGTGTTTGTTTGTATGTGAGTATGTGCGTGTGTTGTGTGTATGTGTGTGCATGTGTGCATATGCATGTGTGTATGAGGGTGTGTTTTTATTAGTAAGTGCTTTACGGTGCTTTCAACTGCATAAGATCGTATCAGCGCGCGGAACACATTAAACTTTTTCAGTTGGTAGGAAATTGTGAATTTGGCACGGGTGGCGGCCGAAGCCTACTCTTATCGATTTTAGACCACCAAGGGATCTTTAACGTGTGCAACTTGCACATAGGCCATCCGAGTTTTTCGCACTTCTACGAGAAGGCTAAGTGTAGTCCTTTCCTACCAGAAGATTAGGGGCGTGGCTGAAAGACAGCAGTAAGAAGGAGCCAAGGGGTAGCAGTAGAAAGACTTCAGAAAGAGCCAGGAGCTCAGAGGAGGGGGCGAAGGAGGTGAGGGGGTGGGGACAGAAAGTGGAGGCGAAAGCAGACGACAGAACATTACCAGAGAGCAGGAAAGGAGGTGAAAAGATACAATTTTAAAGAGGAAAATGTTTTCGGTCGCTACCAGAATTGGAACCCGGGACCTTTGAATGAGAGGCGAACATCTTAACCTCTAGGCCACGAGGGCCCCCTGTGTATATGTGTGTGTATGTGTGTTTGTGTTTGTGTGTGTTTGTGTGCGCGCAGACAGACTGACAGACAGAGAAACGGGAAATCGATTGAAACGGGTAAAGAGGAGGACCAAGAGAGAAGAAAGAAAGAGGGATGCAAAAGACAGAAAGTGGAGAGGGAGAGAGGAGGGGAGACACAGAGACAGAGTGAGAGAGAGAGAAAGAGAGAGAGAGGGGGGTAGAGAGAGGGTGGGTAGATAAAGAAAGAAAGAAAGAAAAAAAGAAAGAAAGAAAGACAGCAATCGAGAGAGAGAACAAGTGAGAGAGAGAGAGAGAGGGGGAGAGGGA